TAGTTGTGTTGAATCAGAACAACATTAATAATGTTTTATCGAGACATAGATATTTTAGAAGATTTGAATTTCATATTCTTGAGAAAGCCGCGCTAATTAGAGTTTTTTTCGGATAATCTTGCATGCTAAAAATATCATCTTGCTCCAATCATCACTCTTCTTTTTTCACTCTAATCTTTTGCACAACCCTTATTAGGGTTTCAACAAAAAATCCTATTTTTGAATTAAGTTAAGGAAATCTAATTTGCATACATGCAAGAAGGAATATATTATTAAGAAACCTTATAAACCCCAATTCTCATCTAACCCCCTACTCTTAATTTCTTGTATATTGTATGAACCTTAATGCTTTGTTAAGAGAATAAAATCCACATAAAGCCTTTATTATCTTATATCTTTCATAGGTATTTCTTATCATAATTCCATATTTATTATCATATAGTGCACTCACACCTCAATTCAAGCTCACCTAGTCAATTACTATTAGTCTCGTGGTACACAACCAACACTTGAGCCTTTTTTTTTTTTTGATTTAATGGTCAACACTATCATTGCCAGGTCCTAAGTTCTGGGATGAGACTAATTGAGGGATGCATTAGGTAGTTGACCGCCAGCATACAACTTAACAAATTATGACATGAATCTTTTAATATATTATGATAATGCTAGGGTGTTCCTTCTAAGTGATGCACTGTATAACGAAAATGCAACAAAAAAATGTGCAAGATCCACTACACTGACATTCGGGTCCAATATTAATATACTAGGGTTCTCATATCACTGATGGATATGAGCAAATAAACTAGTCCTTGAAATTAGAATTATGATAGAAACATATAATATTGATATTCTTACATGCAAATTAATAAAATTAATATATATTATTATTCATAGAAAGATAAATATTCTATGTATTCAAAAAACTAAATGCAAGGGCATATACAAGGTGGACTATGGGGGCACGTGCCCCCCTTCTAAAAAATAGGATGTCTAATTCAAGATTTAAAATAAAATAAAAAATAAGCTAGACATATGTGGTAGTCAATCATAGGTATTGTATGGCTTGCAGCAAAACCGTTATGGCCATCGGTAATAAAGCACACTATGGTGATGCCTACCTATAGATCAAGCAGTCCAATCAACAACATGACGGTGAACCAAGCAATATCCATGCCATCATATACCAATCTATAAAAAATTGTAGCAAATCCTAGTAAATGCTAATTGTGATATTCTTTAACTTTGTCTATATTAATTTTAAAATCAAATCACACATGTTATCAATATCATATATTTTATAAATAAATAATTAATGTTGTAGAAATTGAAAGTAAATGCAAAATTTTAAAAAAGTTTGAATACTATTTTTTTTTATTTCAATATATCATAATTGGTATTTATTTGATTTACAAATAATTTATAAATTTAGATAAAATAATTATGGCTAGTGTTCGTTCATTTTTTTGCTTTAAAATTACCTATGCTTATCCAAGCTCAAAAGAAAAAACGTTTAGGGAAAGTTTGTCAAATAAATTTAGGCTTCATTTGGGACGGCTTTCTTACTTCTTTCTAAAGCAGTTTTTTAGTAAAAAAAATTAATTTTTGTACTAGAGAACTACTTTAAGAAGCAATAAGAAAGCTGTCCCAAACGAAGCCTTAGGCTCCATTGAAAAAAATTTCTGTCTCTTCCATTGACTAAATGAATTGGAAAAAAAGTTAAGGGATTGATAGTTTAAGATTTAAATTATGATATTTAAGTATAAACATACTAGAAATGATGTAGATGTGATTGCAAATATGAGCTCGAATGATAATATTATAAAAATTAATATAATTGAAAATAAAATTATAACTTTAAAGATTATTATTAAGGATAAAATTATTAATGTTATAAGTGCTTATACTCCTCAAATAGGTTTGGATATGTTTTCAAAAATAAAATTTTAGAATGATTTTGAATATATGTATATAAGTATATAAAAACATTATAAGTGCTTATATAAATGATGAATCATGAAGAATGCGTTTTTATTGAAAAAATTTAAATGAGCATGTTTGTAGAGTGGTAGAAGATTTTAAAAGTATTTATGGTGGATATGAGTATACAATGAAGATTTCTCTCTAACTTATAATTTTGTAATTGTTAATATTTTATTGAAAAAAAAAAATAACATCTCATTACTTATAAGAATGGACATATTAAAATTCAGATTGATTTTTTTCTTATGAGAAAATAAGATCATTTAGATTGTAAAATCATTCTAAATGAAATGTTATATACTCAATATCGACTTTTAGTTGTGAAAGTAAGATTCAAGATATTAAGATTTGAGTTGTTTGTGAGGAATAAAATATTTTATGTAAAAAATAGCTAGTAATGTTAAGAATTCTATAAATTATATGCTTAGACAATTAAAAGGAAAAGCTTTTAATAGTAAAACTAATTAATGATAAAATCAAAATGTTCAAAAAAAAAAAAAAATCAGAAGCTTTGATATGAAAGCTTAGATTGTGAATGATATAGAGGTGCCCATAAGGGGTTTAAGAAAATAATGTGATGCAAAAAATTTAGTTTTTAGTAATTTAATTTATATAATATATTATATATTAAGGAGGGCGAATATGTATATATACGTTAGCAAAGCAAAGAGATGAGAAGAAATTATTTAGCTTAAGTGAAATGCACTAAGAGTGAAGATAAAAAAGTTTTTTAAAAAAGAAAATATTCAATGTAAGTGGATGATATATTTTGATAAACTTTTCTATGAAAATTATGATAATATGATTTAATGACCTTAGCATCCTAAATGAAAATATAATTTTGTTTTTATCTAAATTATAGAGGCTTTAAAGAAAATAGAATGTTAAAAAATTATTAGACCAGATGATGTTCTAATAGAAGTGTGAAAATGCGTAGGAGATTATGAAATTTCTTAGCTTACTAAACTTTTAATGTGTCATACATTAAAATAATGGGAGAGAGCAATTAAGCATAGGTCACGACATGATATTAATATTTCTTAAAATCAATTTGGATTCATGCCAGATAAGCCTAATATGGAAGACATATATTTATTGAGAGATTCAATGAAGAAGTACATAGAGAGTAAGAATGATGTACATATGATATTTATTAATTTGGAGAAAGCATATAATGAAGTTCAAGAGAATTGCTTTGAAAGTTCTAAGAAAGAAATGAGTTATGAATACTTATATTCAAGACATTAAATATAAGTATACACGAGCTATTACTTGTATTCAAATATAAGGTGGCTTGACGAAATATTTTTCTATTTTAGTTACTTATATAAAAAATCATCTTTAAGCTCATATGTTTTTTCTTTAGTCATGGATGTTCTTTCCAAACATTTATAAGAGAATGCACCTTAGTGTATGCAATTTGCTGATGATGTTCTTTTTGTCGAGAGACTAGAGAGGGAGTTTATAAAAAACTTGATTTATTGAGGTCAACTTTATAGCCTAATGCTATGTTTTTGTTTGAGTAGTTCTTAAATCAAATACATGAAGTGTCAATTTAAGTAGTAATAAATCTACTTATGAGATTTCGACATTGGGTTATCAAGTCATTAATTACAAGAAGTGTATGTTTTAGATATGTTGGGTCTATTGTTCAAAGCGATGGTGAAATATATGAGGATATTATTAGTAGAATTCATGATGGATGGTTAAAGTGGAGGAATTCATCGGGCCTTTTATGTGATAGAAAAATACCCCTCAAATTTAAGAGAAATTTTATAAAATAGTGGTGAGACCTGTAATGCTTTATGACATGGAATGTTGGCCATTAAAAAGAAGCATAAAATTAAGTTAAGTGTTGTAGTGATGAGGATGCTGACAAGGGCAGAATCGGCCTTGACTCTTCGGAGGGGGGGGGGGAATTCCTCCCCTGGGGGCTAGGTGGTTCTGCCCCTAGATGCTGAGGTGACAAGTACAAGGATAAATGCTTATTATTGTTATTATTATTTATTTAATGGCCCAAACTAACCTAATTATTATTAATTAGTGGATTACTAAATAATATTCGGTTGAATTAAATGCTACCATCTTAATTTATGTTCCAATGTTTTGATTGATTTAAATATAATCATAAAAAAGCTCACTAAATCATTGGATTTGGATTTGGATCAACTATATAAATCTATAATAACACAAGAAGGAAATCTTTCTAGCATTTCCAATCATCTCTAACCTAACCCTTACTAATAACATAATGAGATGAAAAGTCATTCAACACCTCTAAATTATCTTATTTACGTAATGTCTTAATTAACATCTTATTTGAGATGACTTTCTTATTACTTTTTAAAGTAATTTTTTAGTATAATTTTTTTAACTAAAATGCTGCTTTAGAAAATAATAAAAAAAATTTTCCAAGTAAAATCTAAAATTTCATATTCTCAACAAACCCTAACTTAAAAGGAAAAACAAAATCTTACTACATTAAAAAAAAAAAAAAACGTTATGAAAAGCAAATTTTTTAAATATATTCACTATTAAATATTTTAGGTATCTCTCATCAACTCACATCACATGTTCATTAATTACACTCCAATATCGGCCCAAGAACCGTTACTGTCCGTTCGATCCTAATCGTCCAATTTCCATAAGAAAATCAATAACCACGTTTCAAAGCAAAACCCACAGCCGTTTCCATCGGATCAGACGGTCCACGTTCAACACGGCTGCCCCGAACCAAGACCAAAAGTACTTATTACGCATCGGCGCCTTCCACTGCTGCTCAATGTGACCAGAAAACTGTCGGAATGACCGCACCGTAAATGTTATGCGTAAAGAAGATTTCGCCGTTAGATATCGAAATGGACGTTGATCAAGCCGTGCATACGGATTGTTCCGTGCGGGATACGTGGAAATGGACAAAGAGCCGGTGCGGGGTTTTACCGAGTCCAACGACTTCCCCGAAATGCCCCTCTGCTTTGACGGAAATACCCTCCCTCAAGACGAATCTTCGTCTAGGTCGTCCTCCCTCTTTCTCTCTCTTTCATCAACGCTTTGCATTTGCATTTGAGCGATTCGGCTGTAGCAGGAGAGCACAAACGCGTGCTCTCCAAGCATCTATCGGTAATCAGATCCTCGAAACCCTAGATCTTCTCTCGGATCTTTCCCGATCTTAGCTCCCTTCGATCCAGATCGACGGAATTTCACGTGCCGTTTGCCATTGCGGGCGATTGCTGGAGTATTCTTGTTCTTCCGGCTCGATTCGCTGCTTGGATTACTTGGATTGGTCCTAGTTTTACCTACATTGCTGTATTTTAGTTGTTCCGGGTATTAAAATAGCTGGATCTGGGGATGAGGTGGAATTGCTGAGGCGTCGTTGATGGCTGCGCAACCGGAGAAGATGCATTTTCCTGCTGGCGAAGCGCTGCCGCCGCGGCAGTGGTTTCCGGACGAGAGGGATGGGTTTATCTCTTGGCTGAGGAGTGAGTTTGCGGCGGCGAATGCGATTATTGATTCGCTGGTGCATCATCTCCGGCTCACGGGGGAGCCCGGGGAGTACGAACACGCCATAGGATGCATACAGCAGCGGCGATGTAACTGGACACCTGTCATCTACATGCAGCACTACTTCTCCATCGGGGATGTGCTGCTTGCTCTTCACCAGGCTGGGTTGAGGAGGCAGCATACACAATATCAGAGGGAGGGGAAAAAGCCAAGTTCTTTTGGGTATAGGCAGGGACATCGGTCGGATAGTATTAGGGAGCATCATGGCTCTTCTTCCCCTTTGTCATCGGCTGCCTCTGAGCTGGCTCATTCGGAGAAGGGAAAGTATAAATCGGGATGTGGAGAAGATGGAAAAATATTGGGGGGAGATCAGTCATCAGGAGGAATGGGCTTGTCGGTGGCGGCTGTGGTTCGAAAGGATGGCGAAGGTAAGTAGTGCTTTCACTTCGGTTATTTTATTAAATATCCACTATTAAGTTCAGTGATAGTTGGTGAGTATCTTATAATTTGCCCTGTGATTGTCTACCTCTTTCTTTGTAAAAGAAACTGAGAAAGGCTAATCAAAATTTATCTTTTTCATGTTTGATTGGTGAGAATCATAGAGTAAGCGAACTTAATGGATGTGAAGGACGCAAGTGTTTCAGAAGGCTCTTGCATTTTCAATATTCGTCCTGCTAGTTTTATTATTATATTCAGTTCCTAAATAAAATTGAGGCCCTGATAAGCATTGCCCAAATGGCTTTTTCATGCAAATCGCTTTTGTTCCATTTTATTTTACTGTTTATGTTTCACTTTCTTTCAGTCATTTTCATTTGAACAAATGGTAGCCTCCGCTAATGAGTTTGAGATGACAGTGAGTGTTCTACTAATGCATTAAAGATTCATCACATCACAAGGAATGTCGTAAAGGCTCTACTTGACAAAGTTGAGATTATTATTTTGCAAGTGGTTGGCAAATATATTAATTCCATTAACAATAGTATCTTATTTTCTTACTTCTCAGCCTCTCCGGTTAAATAATAGTATGTAATTCACCAAGTCACAATGAATAACCTTGAAGTTCTGATAAAAGTTGCTTAAAGGAGTTATTTTAATACAAATCACTTTTGTTTCATATTTATTTATCGTTTTACTGTTTCAGTTTCACTTTCTTTCAGTCATTTTCGTTTGAACTAATGGCAGTCTGAGTGAAAGAATTTTGAAATGAGAGTGAGTGTTCTATTAATGCATTAAAGATTCTCTTAATCACAAGTAATGTCCTAATTGCTATAGTTGCTTAATTAAAATTATTGTTTTGCAAGTGCTTCTTAAGTATATCAGTTCCAGAAACAATAGTTTTATTTCCTTGTTCCGTGGTCCTTCCACTTAAATATCTATGACTTCCAACTTATATTGACCCTTACAGAACCTATTCCTGCAATGATGAGCAAAGTTAGGAGAAATTTTGCGTGATGACCTCTACTTTTATTACTCTCCTAATGCTTAGTATTTTATTGTTTTTACATTCGCAGGGACTAATGGTACTTCTAGTTCAGAGATGGATGACAGACAAACGAATGAAGAAAATTATGGCCAGATGGAGCCTGCTGTTGTTGAAAATTGCCATGACCAGCTCGTGAAAGGTATGCTACTTAATGTATGTTTATCCATGGAATATTTGGAAGAGCTTGAATAGAAATTGTATAGAAGAACCTCAGTGGCATATATGTGTCCCAACAAGAGATAAAGGCCAAACTAGAATAATTTGTTTTTCTATCATTTACTCTAAAATCAGGAAAGCTCCTGTGACCCTGCTGTGCTAGTATATGCTGTTAAATATTCTTGAAGAACATCGAAATCTTGTGCTGATTATTTCTGTTCTATTAGTCTTCATGGCTGCAATGAAGTCGTTACGGAAAATTTATATGAATTTATAAATTAGTTCGACAAAACTATTCTGTGCAAACATTTATTCTTTCCTGTTCTCTGATGATTTGGAACTCTTTGATTTTATGAAAATTGTGTTATGATTTATGGAGTAGATATTGTATGTCCGATCTAAGTTTATCAAGTCAATCCAATGAGATTGGCTTAGTCCTGTTGCTGATTTGGGCCTGGTTGCCTAGTGAAGCCAAACAATTCATTGGATTAAGTAATTCATAAGTAGTCGTTCAATAGGATTCATCAACTACAATTCACTTGAGAAGTGGCTATACAATCAACAAGAAATAGCTATCTAAGGCAAATTATCCACCAATACTAGGATGTTAGTGCTTCCTCAGTGTTATGCAATATTAAAAGGTCTGCATTGCTTGACAGTTGTGTCTAGTCAATCAATACTTGGTAGTTGGTACTTGTCCTTTTAATCAATATTTGGCTAAGTGTACTCTTTAATCAATATTTGGCAAATTATCCACCTATCTAGAAGGCATAATACGAGAGCAGGGCTACACATCCAACTACAAAGATGTTTGATTACTTAAATAATAGTAATTTCTTGGACAACTTAGTCTTCAAGTTGATATCAAGTTTAGTTCGAGTGAGTTTGGCATAACACATTAAAAAAAAAAAAACTCTACCAATCAGAACTCCACAAAGAAAGGTAAACTTTATCCACCACAATAAATTAGATAAGTTTAAAATAAATGATAATTCCTAGTGGAATTATTCTAATATGACTTTACATTTAAATATATCTTACCAACACAAATAACAAAATTCTACTTAGTTCTTATCCATCTCTAATCTAAAATCCAATTAAATGGTCCAACATAATGAACTCTCCATCAAGCTCTCAATCAAACAAAACTTTCTCAGACTCTCAATAGTAGCCTCAACAACATTCACCTGTGTACTCTATGAGCACTCTGAGCTCCAATCTACTGCAAGTACCATGTACATGCGAGCAAGCAAATAAAAACATTTGCTCAATATATAAAAATAAAACAACTGCTGGCTAGTAAGCGTAAAAAAAACGACTGTAGGCTAGTAAGTGTCAAACTAGTGAACAAGCATGCTAGTAAACGACCGAAATCTAAAGTCTAGTGTCAGAGGCTAGTGCTAAGAGAAGAACTGTCATTGTACACAAAACAAGGTGCTAACGCTAGTGTCGGGGCAATGAAATGTGTAAAGCTATGCTGTCACTAATTTAAGTCCTATATGTCACTTTTAATAAAAGCTGTAAAACCTACAGACAATCATTTGCCTAAGTATATTTATTAAGTGAACCAAATAAACACCTGGAATTCCCCCGACCACTTCTAATAGAAGCTATAAGTCCAACTTTAGCGCCTATTGACTGGTCTTAATCGAATGTTCTCAATTGTAACTGAGAGTAGTACTTAACCATAGGAGCTTGTATCTATAGGAACTTGATATTAGATTTTAAAATTCTCTCAAAATAAGAGCATAGTATCTATATTTTGATATGCTTTCGACTCAAAACAAACTTTAACTGAAAAGCTAGGTGTGAATCTTCAGAGCTCCCAAAATTTTCATAAATTGGGCAGAATAATTAAAATCAAAATCCTAAGTTTATTGGGAATGAGATTTATACAGTGTAACTGCATGCCAATATGTCGGCTTTTATACAAACACTGTGTTCTCTCTAGTATTTTCCATAGTCTGTTTGGTGTAACTCATTACCGTTGGTTTCAACTTAGCCCATATAATTTAAATCAACATTTATGTAGTTCAAAACCGCTATCACAGTGCGAATTGCTAATTTAAGTGCTACTACCCCAACTATAGTACTGTGACCTCTCCTTGTCACCTCTTTGTTTGTAGTACTTTCTTTCCTTTTTTTAGATCTTTTAAACAATTATGGAATTAGATCTTATGGGTTGATTTTTACCATGGTTTAAAATTGCGCAATAAGAGGCGCGCCTCAGTGCAATTTCAGACTTTTAAGCCTCAAAGCCTATGCAATGAGGGTTGGCATTGAGGCGTATGCCTCATGTTCACTGAGACGCGCCTCGCCTCATGTTTTAGAGGCGTCCGCCTCTTAAAATTAAAAAAATCCCTAACCTAATAAGATTACACAATTGGTCTGTCTGCTTGGTACCGTTTGGTATAGCTCGGTATTGCAAGGTACATGCTAGGTACTGCTCGGTACCACTCGGAACAACAATGCTTGGTACCACTAGGTACAAGTCGAACCCCACTAGGGGGCAGCGTTCCCTTGGACCCCCGGCTGCCCGGCATATTGTTGTATTCGTTGCTATTTATTTTTGGAATTATATGTGATGTGAAACCAGGAATTGAATTTAGAAACTTAATAAAATATTGTTCAAGTGATGAAATTGCAAGCTTAATTTTGTTCTCAATTAAAATTTTTCGGAGATCTTAGAATTTGACTATGGCTAGGCAAGAGCTTACACCTAAATTAGCAAGATCAAGAAAATAACAACTGTAATAAAAGTAAAGCAAATGAAAAGCCAACTAGAATCCCGCGGTTAACAAAGCGATTGTCTCACCTTGAGGCCGCTCTCATTTACCTACTTCTAGGCTTGTTGGGAGAAGAAGAACCACACAAATGATGAGACCACTCCTAGGGCGAGGGTGCCGTAGATCCGTAGGGAAGGAGAGGTCGGCGCGGGTCGTGGAGGTGGTGCAAAGAGACGCCCTTCAACGATCCACGTGTAGACAGAAAAATGATCGTCGATGGATTCCACTAGAGCGGGTAGGATCCGGTCCAAATAATCCTCGACGGTGTCGTCGAAGTCGAATCCGACGTCGAAGAAGGGAGATCGGAGGATGTTCACTCGTCCGCGGTTGTCGTATTCAAACCCGAAATTCCACTCGGGAACCTCCATGCATCCTTGGAGAGGTGAAAGGGTGGTCGCCGGAACTAAATCTCCAAGGAGGAGAGATGGGGGGCGGCGGGTTGAAGGATGGATGGGGAGGCCGGCGGTGGAGGTGGGGTGAGGGGAGATGGGTATAGAAAACAATAACAAAAACTGAGAATAATTTCAGCTTTGGGGAATTTTGGGGTGGGGGGGGGATTTGAATTCCATGTTGCTGGAGATGGGTTCGAGTGCCTTGATGAAATGGGATTATTAGAGGTTGCAAATCTTTCTTTAGATGAGCCAGAGTTGGAAGCAATGATATTCAATGATGATGATATTGAAGGCCAAAGACCAACATCTGAATCTAATTCTATCATTCCCTCTATTGAGTAGTTGAACTTTCATATTGTACTAAATAGTTTTTTGGTTATATTTTTGTGGTTGTACTAGACATTTTGTACTAAACATCTTTATGTTATGAGCTAAACAAGTTATCATGACATTGATTTAATATTGCTTGCCATTTTTAATATAATATTACCTTAATTTATATATATTATATTTAAAATTATTATGCCGTGTCCACGCCGCACCCGTGTCCTATATTTTTAAAAAATGCCGTGTCCCGTGTCCGTGTCGTGTCCGTGTCGCCGTGTCCGTGTCCGTGCATCATAGGGCTACAATAAGTGCTACTTCCCTCATAGGGGTACAAAAGGAAAACGTGAAATAAAAATCATGAAAAGAAAAACTAAAGCATCAAAAATAAAGGCTCTGAATCAAGGCCGTCGATCGGCGTCCCCGACGATGGTACACGTGTCGAAATCTGATGCCCTCATCAATATGTTAATGAAAAAAATACTGTGATTTGGGAAAGATAAAATTTGAGTTGAACTATATTTCATATTATCTTATTATTGGGATATTTTGATTTCACTTCATAACTTGTGCCTTTTTATGTTTTATATTTTTTGCTCATTAGTATATAAAAAATTTATCATTTTATGTTTACGCAATCTTTTGATTTTGAAGCTTATGCCTCAAAACGCCTTGAGGCTTACGCCTCACCTCACGAACGATAAACGCCTCAATACCCGATTACGCAATTTTAAACATTGATTTTTACCATGGAAATTATTTAATAATGTATTGATACCTACTATTTTTTAGCAGTCTTATAGATTCTGAGAAGTTTCTTATTTGATTTTTTTTATAGGCTATAAATAGGACTCATAAAAAATGCAAATTTAATGCAATAGTGAATATTAAAAAATCCATATTTTTTTTTTCTATGCTTGCTTGTTGATAATGTAATTTTCAAGCCCGTCATAGGTGTGGATAATTACGTCCATGGGAAAAGTTCATCCTATCAGTATAGGACCTGAGTCTTCTCTTTTGGGCGACTTCTATCTTTGTACTTACCTTTTGAATTATTTAGTCGTTTGTTGTGCATGTGTGATTTACATGTTGAAATGAGGTATGCGGTACGTCAAATTTTATGCATTTGTTGTTTTTCATGCGATATTTTATATTTGATGATTTCTAAATTATCTTTGGGATTAACAAAGCATGTTTAAAAATCCTTTCATTAAAATTGATGAGGTTTTGCTGAAGTTATGAGTAAATTGAATGTTTTTTTTTTTTTTCTTCTCATTTTAAGGTGCCTAGGAAACTTTAGACCATTAATTGCCCTGCATCAAGAGCTTTTACTTAAGAGACCTTTGCTAAGACAACTTTTGAGTATTGGTAACCTCGAGTGTTTGACCAATTATATAGCAGGTATAACATGGTTCTCCTTGGTCCACATTCCTTATGAAACCTTTATTTGCTATATTTCCCTTCTATTGTCCATCTTTGACAAACCCATCTACTGGTACTTCGAAACTTAATCTTGATTTTTTATTATACAATGGGGATTGTTTATAACTTATAGGATCTTAGTATATTGCGCCTTAATAGTGATTTCCAAGTTATTCATAGATTAGTAAAATACTTGTTATCGCATTGCTGAAACTTTAATACATCCTGTAATATTACTATGAACTGATTTATATTTTCCTATCTGACATTCTTATTTTTTCTTTATTATTATTTGACTTGATTTTGGTCACTTCATTCTATTTTATTGCATTTGGTTGAAAGGAAAGGTTCTCATGCTTGATGCATTCTCTTTTTTCTTTTCCAGAAACAAAAAATGATCCTCTTCCACTTGATGGTGGCGATCAAAACCTAAAGCAAGATGGAAATCAGGAACTTATTCCAGTTCCCAAAATTTTTGTGGGAAATGAAACAAGTGATGGAAAGATGGTGGGGGCTCTTTAAATTAGTTGGATATATTGATCTTGATTTTTTTTTTGGAAAAATTAGCTTTGGCAAGAAAGTATGTTTATCGTAGTTCATATACCCTATGAATTTCTGATGAGCATGATAAACTTCTGCAGGTCAATTTTGTTGAAGGGCTTAAGTTATATGAGCAATTGTTTGATTGCTCAGAAATCACAAAATTGATTTCTTTGACAAATGACATGAAAGCAGCTGGGAGAAGGGGAGATTTTCCAGGCAAGACTTTTTTTTTAAAAATCAAATTTTGTTCTACAATTACATAAGAAAGACAACTATCTGACTATGTATACGCCATTGCCAACATTTCTTGACATAGATATTCGTTAACCCTTCTTGTTTTTAATAATAAGGGTAAAGACAAAGATATTGTTTCATTCAGCGCGTTCATTTACTTCAGGGATTTTCTTTCGAAGTTTCACATATATTGTAAAATTGCTCTCTATTAGTTGACAGCATATTATACCTGTCTTTGAACGATGATAAGCAGGCCACACTATGGTGCTATCAAAGAGGCCAATGAAGGGACATGGCAGGGAAATGATTCAACTGGGCATCCCTATCTCCGAAGGACCTGTAGAGGATGAAAATGAGATTGGTTCCTTGCTGGGTAAGTTCTACATTCTTCTATATATTGGTGCTCAAATTCTATAATCAATATACCTGATTTTAGTTGTAAAACATTGTAAAAATTGCACTTATAGAGAGGAAAGTGGAGCCTATTCCCAAGTTACTACTTGATATTTTTTATCGCTTGGTGCAACTGCAAGCTTTTTCTGCTAGTCCTGATTTTTGTGTTATTGACTTCTTCAATGAGGTACATGAGGAATCAAATTATATAATGCTTTGAAAATTTGAATAATTAGGGGCAAGCCTGACATTATGCATACGTGTGCAGGGTGATCATTCGCAACCCCACATTTGGCCCTCATGGTATGGCAGACCCGTTTGTAATTTATTCCTGACTGAATGTGACATGGTCTTTGGCCGGGCAATTGGCACAGATCATCGAGGGGATTATAGAGGTTCTCTCAAGCTTTCCCTGAAAATAGGGTATGATTTTGTTTCTTCGATTAATTGGGTATTCGTGTTTGCATGCTTGCTTCCATTTATTGCATTTCACAGTTTTAAGTGGTGGCATATAATATTCATTTCATCAGAACGCTTTGGTAATACTAAATTTTTAAGTTTGAGAGAAATGAAATTTTATTTCCCTTGTTCATTTCTTTTTGATACATGAGATTGGGATGGCTTTGTAATTAGAGGATTTTAATAAACCTTTGATTATAATTAATGAACCTTCTAAAATATATAAGGAAAAATAAGAAACAAATAAAGGGAAAGAAATTTGAACAAACATCCAAAATCTCTACTTACTGAAAACATAAAGACTTTCTTATTTGAAGAGATATTTTTAGATTTCCGAGACATAGAAGGGAGAATAGTGAATATCCACATTTTCGCTGAAGTGTTGTAGATGTCAATCATTCATTGCATGGACTTAAAATGTTTAATGTTATCAGTTATCACATTATACTGGCTTTGTAAGAATATACATTGTTTGAAGAATTGTAGCGTGTATATGGGCTTCATGAGTTTTTTCTCTAATGTCTCTTTGACAAAATGATTTTTAATTTATGCATGTTTTGTTCTGTTATGGCGAACAATATTCTTTGTAATACTTGTGACATTTTTGTTATAAAAAAACATCTTCATAAAAATTTTAAGTGGCATTTCTAATTTTCAAGCAGCTTTACTAATACGTCTTGGAAGCGAAAATAACAAATAAAAAAGAAGAAAAATGTAGGAACACCACGATAAGATTGATTTTTGGATTATCTCTTCACTAATAAAACAATACAATTGATCTATTATTCGAGAGGTAGATCAACTCTCCCACAAGCCCTAGACGCCTCTAGGAATTCACTACACAAGGAAAATAGAACTCACCGATAGCATACACTAAATCCTAGACAACTCCCCTTAAATAGCCCTAGAACACAATAACATAAATAGAACCTTCCTAATCAGCATAAACATAATTTAAGAAACCTTCCTAAATAATTAGGCCCTTCCTAATTGGCCTAAACAAAATTTAGGAAACCTTCCTAATCAAATTAGTTGCATAAAAACCTTTCTAATTCTTACCCTTATTTACATAGTGAAATATTAAATTTAAAAATAACCATAAATCATATCGTATGCATATATGTAATAATTATATCATATCATAACATTTTCTCTAACTAATAAAATCGTCACATGAGACACCGTATAAATAGTATCAATGAAAGTATTTTAATTTTCATTTTCTTTTCCAAAACCTTTTCCAAAACCTTTTCTATTTCACTCGCGCATGTACATCGAGTTCCCAACCAGTGCCATAAATGGGTTGGTTTCATCAATCAATTATGCATATGCAAGAATATCTATCTAGTGTTTTCATTCATATAACATTCATTAATTTTATATAATAATATGAAACACAATATGCTAATTATCATATGTTTGAAGATGAGCATTCATTGAATATGAGAAAGATAATTTATGCTTTAACCTGCAATTAAATAAGTATGTGTCACTATCATTCTATGCATTTAATTTTGAAGAAAACCTTTTTTTTTTCATTTCATAATAAACAATATATAGCTTGTGCTAACTTTTGTAACTCTATGTCATCAAGCTCAATTTGATCAATTATTTTTAATGGAGATAACACATAAATAATTTGCAATATTGATAAGCGATTAAATACAATTAGGACAAGCAACACCATTGCTACAATTTAAAAACACGAGTACTCACTTTGACTTCAAATATTTTAGGGTTTCACTCTTACCCCTTTGCTTCTATGACGATATTTTTAACACCTACAAAAAGAACTTATTGTCAAAATTTTAAATGATAATTTGTTCGTAAATTTTAAATGTATTATCTTATTTGAAAATATAATTATCTGATAATGATTCTATTTCATGAATAAAATCTCATCAATTCATCTCATTTTCTTTTCTTTCTTACTTAAAAAATTAATATTGATTTAAAAATAATAACTTAAATAATAAATAAATTCCTTAAAACTAATTGTTATTCTTCAATTGCCAATGAACTTAGCCTTCGACCGCATTGGTGCCTTTCCTTTCTCGTTTGACCCTATGGACATGGGCCCCACCCGACCTCTACACTTTCCTCTTCCACATGACTCCTCTCGCTTGACACTCATGCTCTCTTATAGATTTTGATCGTCTCCTCGTTTCATCTCTCTCATGTCTCCTAGCGATTGAAATCCTTCGCCTTCCTATGCGAGAACAAACCGACGAGCTCTTCGTCCCCTACGTCTTCTCTTGCGACTTCAAGCATCGGAATCGACACTCGTTTATCTTCCTTGCGACTCGAAATCGGCATACTCGAAATTGGCATACTCGATTGCCTTCCCACGACAACCTTCATTTTCTCTATGGGACGGAACGAGCGATTGTTGGTGCTGCTTCGTCTTCTCGCACGAGAACAAACAAGAATAGCCACTTTGTTGACTCAATGTGGCAATGGAACGAGCTGTCTTGTTGAATGCGGTCGAACCAATTGCAGCTAGTTTGAGGAATGAAAAATTAAGAAGTGTAAGTTTTTAGGACAATTTTCCAATTTTTAATTATTTTTTAATCAGACATGAAAGCCATGTTGGATGTGTGCTGGACATTGCATACCCCCTTATTTTGATGTGTTGGTGCATCATAGATTAAAATTCTAGAATATTTGATTGACTTATGCTTTTCTTGAAACTTGCAATTTCCTTACATATGAAAATATACAAAAAGTACAATTAACTGTTCAAAAATATATCACCATCGTCCTTCAAAAGAGACCAAAAAGAAGAAGGAAAACTATCACTATCACTATGCTTCCATACAAAAATACAAGTTAGGGCAAACAATGCACAAAAATCTGCCACCTTGATGCACTGATGGGGGTGTGTATTGAACGATAGCCTGCTGGAACTGGAACAAAAATCCAAGGCCCGACTTACGCTTTTCTTATCATTTAATAAGCAATTTTGACTGCTGTGAACTTTCCATTTCATACTCTTAACTGTAGATGGTTATTGAAGTCCACCCACCCTATATTATCATGAGGACTCAATGATAGATTTAATAAATTTGCAGTTAGAACATCTATGATATATGAACCTGAGTGATGAAAATGCTTATGGTGAATTTGGTTAAAAGTAGGTAATGATAGAGTAAGAGATGCATTTGTTGGAGAGACAATGAGAGTAGTGTAATTGAACATCGTAGAAAATGGGCTTTAGCTTGGGCATTTGCGGCAAATGACAGAAGATGCAGCAAGAGGTCAGGTAGAATTAATTTGAAGGGTTGGGGGTTTGGGAAATGTTTAGATCAATGTTAGCATTTATAGCAGCTGTCCAAAATGAGGTAAACACCTCATGTATTACTACTCTATAGGACTGGCTTTTATAACGATATATCAAGCAATCTGTTGTGGAATTTGTGCGTTCAAGATTCACTTTCTGATTATGAAAATTGAATAAGACACAATATCCATATTTTTCTATGATCTGCAGAAATGTAGATGAGCTGAGATATCTTTGAACCTGCCATAACTTGTTACCACAAACTAGAAAATCTGCACTAAAATTTTTGATAGAATCAAAACCCCAAAATGCTGTTAATGATTAATTAAGTTAATTTTTTTTACTGTAATCTGGTAAATGCTCTTTCTTTTGAACTCTTTCAACTGAGAATGTTTTCTTGCAGGTCTCTTCTGGTTATGCAAGGCAAAAGTGCAGATATAGCCAGGCATGCCATTCCCTCTATTCGCAAGCAGAGAATCATTCTAACATTTGGAAAATCTAACCCCAAAAGACCTCCACCCATAGAAAGCTCTCGCATCCCTATCTCCACCGTCTCCACGCAATCATGGGCTTCACCATCAGCCAGGCCAAGTGTCCCTCGCCATTCTTCGTTGGGTTTAAAACATTATGGAGTTGTCCCTGCAACTGGAGTCCTGCCACCTCCGGCCGTTCGCCCTCCTTCAAATGGTATACAACCATTATTTGTTGCCCCAACCCAAGTTGCTCCAGCTGCTGTTCCTTATCCCTCACCTGCCCCAGTGCCTCCAGTATCAGCTGGATGGCCCATTGTAAGTCCTTCAATGCATCCCGGACCTCGACTTCCAGTCCCCGGAACCGGTGTTTTCCTCCCGTCGTCCGGCTCCAATCATTCTCAACCACAACAGCTTCCTTTCTCATCATTTTCCGAGGATACAAGCCCTTCTTTGGAGGTAGAATCAAAACCTGAAAATCTGAAACTTGCAGAGGACAAACCAAGCAGCCAAAATGGCTCTTCTCAAAGTATTGTCACAGAAAGCATGGAGATTCAACCAGACTGCAATGGAAGCATAGAAAATGGTCCTCCTGCAGCTGGTCTGAAAGTCATTTCCAAGGAAGAAAACCAAAATTTTACCCACATCAAGAAGAAGACATCAAGCAAACATTGACTGTAAGAGCTATAGAGTCAAAAGAAGGAGACAGAGGAAACTGTTTATATTCTAAAATCTGGTAAAATATAGTTCAATATCTGCATGAGCTTGGGTCAAATGTAAAGAGCGGCAGAAGAGCTGATGATGGCCAATTCCTTATTTCGTATGTATCCTTTTATTTAATTTCTGAGTCTGTGATATTGGACATTATATTATATTTTTGTAGTTGTAGAATCAAATGGTTGGACAATTTTAATCTTGCTGTGATCTGTAGCTGAACTGCTATTTAGTCTATTTACAGGATTGTCTCCATAACATTGTTAGCAAGAACATAAACATCCTTTGAAGATGTATTATTTAAAGATATCTATTTAATCATATTTAAGTAATATAACATTAAATTATAATTTATTTTATATATATATAGGACGGTTTTTTTACTGGTTCTTAAAGTAAATTTTTTTGTATTAAATTTTAAATTTTTTATTAAAAAATTGTTTTAAGAAGCATTAAAAAATGGGGCAGATGCACCAATAAGCCAATTTTATTTTAATCCCCAAAGTTGAAGTTTATGGGCTTGGGAAAAATAATTTTTATTTTTATATTATTGTGTGTTTCGTATATCTAATATATGGTTAAATTTAAATATTCTTATTATATTAATTGGCTATGATGATTTCTAATTAATCAAATTAAATTATAAATATAGTGGTTTAGTTTTTATTTATTTATTTTTAAATTTGATTAAGAGTTTTAGTTTTTTAAACAATGAAAATTTAAGTTTTATCTTAGAGTAAATTTAAATATTGATTAATGATAAAAATATAGTTAAATATATTTCGGTGGTTATGTAATAATAAATAATAATTTAATCATTCCATCAGTGGACGAAATCTAATTAGAATGAAAGCTGGTTTTCTAAGATCTAAATGGGCTCACCCGGGAACAATTATTACGTCCTCCGACCGGACGTAGAGGAACGTCCGGTCGGAGGCAAATTCCCGCCAAAAAACGAGTTGTACCGAGCAAATACCGAGCAATATCAAACAATAAAGAAGAATACCATCATTTGAAGACCCAATACCGAGTTATACCGGGCTTTACCGAGCAAATACCGAGTTATACCAAAGTTGTACCGAGTTTTTCCCAGAAAAACTCGGTACAACTCGGTATTTCTTGGTACAGCTCGGTATAACTCGGTATTGGTCTTCAGAGAACGGTATTCTTCATTATTATCAAATAATACCTAGTTGTACCGAGCAAATACCTAATTTTTGGACGGGAAATTGCCTCCGACCGGACGTTCCTCTACGTCCTTGCACCGAACGTAATAAAAGTTCCTCACCCGGGCATGGTTTGTTGAACAGATGCGTTAAAATATGTGTGGATGGAATGAAAAAATTATTATTTAATATTACATAATTAAAAAGATAATATTAAATATAAATATAATATTATAATAAGATAAGTAAATTATCTAGATAGACATAAAATTTAATCATAGAAAAGCTAAATCTCAAATCTAAACATAAATAAAAAAAAATAATAAAACATGTAAAGTAAAAAATTAAATAAAGGTTGTAAATTTTTTGAGAAAAATAATTAATAAAGTTATAAAAATAAGTCCTAATTCATTATTACTTATCATTTATAATAACTTTTAATTTTTATTAAAAAAGAACGCAAATAAAAAATTCTATTTATTTTGATTAAAAACCTAAACTTTACAAAAAACATTTTGTGCGCGAAAAACCGGGTAATGAAAATCTTCTTTGGTCTTGAGTATGCTCGAGGGTTTCGATATCCAGGTTTGCGCCGCTTGCGTACATCCTCCTTCCATCGCCAGAGGGCTTCCCTCCCGATTGGCGCCTTCTCCACTGGATTTTCCACCACTCCAATACTCCCCACGACTGGTCTCTTGCGGGGGCCGTCTCTATGCTCCTTAATGTCCCCGCCTCTTCGTCCAAACCGACCCCGTTTCCCGGTAACATACTTCTCTCCTAACCAACAAGCTTTCGTTTAAAGCTGAATCTTTCGAGGGAAAAACATCGGGACCTCGGCGCTTATTGGCTATTCGTTGGTCCTGTCCCTATTATGAACGGCTGCTTTAAAGCATGTTGCGACTATGGAGTTAAAAGGGTCTCTGTCGCTTTCTCGCTCGGATGGCTTTTTCTTACGCAAATTCTCGACTGGAAGAAGATCTCGAGATGTCGTTCGAGGACCACTGTTCCTGTTGGCAAACCTTCATCTTACAGCGATGTCCCCAAAATTCAATCCGAACGTGACGAGGATGCTCGATTCCCGGTATGGATAAAAAATAGCTTGACTTCCCTTCTGGCTCTCTGGACTCAACTGGTATTTCTAAAATCTCCAGCTATATGGTATTGCCGATTCTATTGATTCTCTTACAGCAAATCGTTCTAGATTAACGTTTGCTCGGATTTGTGTGGCTTTATTACGAAAGACTCCGATTTTGCCGGATGAAATTCGAATTGAAAATTGAAGGAGAGATTTAAATTTAAAGTTTTAGACGATGGAAGCCTGAAAAAATGTGAAGCTCGCGGGTCCTTGATCATCCTTTTTCTCTATGTCCAAACAACCTAAGCCCACAAACATTCTCCACCACAGTCTTCAAATCGCGCAGAAGACACTTCCAGACATCGCCGTAACCTCCTTAACGATCCCCACTCTAAAAAATTCCTTACCCCCTCAACCCAACAACTCTAGCAACCCTCTCCTGCCTCTGCTCCCAACTCCAGGATTCAGCGGTCCAGCGTGGACTAACCAAACTTGAATGTCCAAAACTCTGTTCCTGAACAATTACAGACAACTCAATCCGCAGATCAGTTGTTGGTTATTCAACAATCTGCATTGACAATTTGAATCCCAACAACCCTAAAACTGCTCTTCTTCCCAATCTCAAACTCTCAACTGATGAACCTCTTCATCAGGTTCCCTCTGCTCAAACTTAAGTCAACCACCTAAAATTCCCCTCTTAAACAAGTTTGCCTCTTGCAAACAAGAAGACCAAAAATCCTCCAGATCCTCAGACTCCATATCAGAGAAGAGAGCTCATCCTTCTCTTTTGCGATGTGACCCTTCCCCCAATCTGAGAATCAGAACCCTCTTGATAAAAAAACTCATAAACACAGATCTTCTAGTTGAAGAAAGAAAATCTACTATCAAGTGCAAAGCCACCGAAAGCAAAATCGGCCAGAGGCCAAAGTCACAAATCATAATGTCCTTAACCTAAATTTGCTAGTTGAATGTTAAGGGGGTCAATAACCCTGACAAAGTCAGTTTTTGCAAGTCTTTTGATTTCTTCTTTGAATCTCAAGATGTTATGCATTTTGGAAGCAAAAATCTCTCTTGCTTCTTATGATGATCTGTGGTTTCTTCGTTCTCATCGCCTTTTTGAGAATGAAGGAAATTGCAACAATTTTGGACTCTGTTCTGGCAGGATAATGGATAAAATGGATGAGTCGGTTTTATCCTTTAATCCTATTCTTCCTCCTTTCCAACAATCCATGTATTCTATCTGTGCGGATCTGCCCTCCGATTTTTCTTACTGTGTTTATGCTGCTAACTCTATGGAGGACCGGAAAAAACTATGGGATCAGATCATTGCTTCTTCCCCCCCTTAGACAAACCTGGGTCATTTGGGGAGATTTTAAACTGCTACAAATGAAACTGATAAAGTGGTGGCAATGCTTCTTCTTATGTATGTTGGTGAACTTAATAGTTTCATTTTTTAATTGCGGGTGCAAAGATCTTCTTCCACGGGTCTACACTATATTGTACAATCAAAGAGTGGATAACCCCCATCCACATCAAGTTGACAGAGTTCTTGGTGAACAATGCATTATTGTATGTTTTTTCCTAATGCTAATTATAGCGTGGAATCATCATCTAGGTTCTGATCACTCCCTATATTTTTCACATTCGTTCCTCATGAAAAGCTTTATCGGTCAGAATTTATGTAAAAAAATTATCTGATAAATTTGAGGGTATTGGATGATGTTTTTTCTGATTTCTCATCAAGAATTGCTAGAAGCCCCATGGCTTCTTTTGCCCACAGCTTACAAACTCTTAAGAGGTCTTTAAAAAATAGAAATTGGGCATCCTCTTCTTATCTTTCTAATGCTTTATTGGAAATTAAAAGCAAGCAAAAACAATGTTTGGAGCAACTACAAACCCAACCTCTTGATTTGGTTCTAAATCAGAATTTGAAGAATATTAATGAGAAGCTTGCAACTTTTCAAAATCATTGGACTTCTTGGTTAGCTCAACGAGCTAAAGTGTCATGGCTCACCAAAGGGGAAGATGACCTTGGGTTTTTATTCGCCCATATTAGAAGCAGAAACAACAAGAACAACATCAAGGAGATCTATACTCCTGAAGGGCATTTCACTAAGTTTAATGACATTTCTGCTGCTATCATTAAACATTTTGAGGGATTATTTAATACTCCTCACCCTGCCCTTCAACTTCCACTGGATATTCCTCATGGCAAGCTGCTGCCATCTCACTTTGGCAATAACTTGGTGACTCCTTTGACTTTTGAGGAAGTCAAGAAGGCGGTTTTTGATGGCAATGAAAACACAGCTCCTGGACCCGATGGTTTTACATATGCTTTCTATAGAAAATCTTGGCACATTATTGGTTTGCAAATATTCAATGCTGTTGGAATTTTTTTTTCTACTGGCTCTATTCCGAGGGGGGTTAAGGCAACTGCTATTGCTTTAATTCCCAAGAGCTCCCACGCTTCTAACATAAGTGACTACAGACCAATTTCACTTTGCAATGTCCTATACAAAATTGTCGCCAAAGTTATTGCCAACAGACTCAAAGTTGTTCTTCCACATATAATTCATGAAAGCCAATCTGGTTTCATAGCAAATAGATGCTCGACTGATAATATCATTTTAGCAGCTGAATTACTTAGAGACTTCAAAGGAAAAAACAAGATGTTCTGTGCCAAACTGGATATTAGGAAGGCTTTCGACTCTATATCCAGAGAATTCATCATTGAAAGACTTTTACAGAAAGGTTTTCCTCAAACCTTTGTCACTTGGATTAAAGGATGCATCACTGACGTTCATTTCTCCATTTGTTTAAACGGATCCCTTGAAGGTTTTTTCACTTCTAGCTCGGGTCTTAGACAAGGATGCCCCTTGTCTCCACTTCTCTTTTGTATTGCTATGGATGGTTTATCCAACATCCTTACTGACCCAGCTTCTCCTCATAATTTCAAGGGTATTAACTGCAAAGATTTTTACATCAATCACTTGATGTATGCCGATGATCTTCTTGTGATGGGGGAGTCCAGTAAAGAAAATGCCTATAATCTCAAAACATGTTTGCAGAAATTTGCCACTGCTTCGGGTTTGCATATCAATCCTAACAAGAGTGCTATCATTTTTTCTTCTGATGCTCCTGGAAACCAAACTATCTGTGAGGAACTTGGGATCCACAATATCAATCTTCACCTCACTTATCTTGGTATTCCCATTTCACCTAAAAGACTTAAAGCCACTCACTTCCAACCACTACTGAGCAAAATTTCAGCTCTACTTGCTGGTTGGAAAAACAATTTTCTTTCTTTTGCAGGAAGGGTGCAGTTTCTTAAATTTACCATCACCAACTCAATTGCTTACTGGATCAGAGGGTCCATCATTCCAAAGGGCTGTTGTGATACCATAAACAAACTATGCTCTAAATTTTTATTTCACAACAATTTGGTGGAGAGAAAACTGCATCTCATTCCGTGGTCTAAAGTCACTATTCCTAAAGATGCTGGGGGCCTTGGCATACCTTCTATCGAAGCACTATACTTTGGAGTGTTCTGTTCTATAATTGGCAGGTTTTACAACAATCAAAATTTGCTTACCTGCTGGTATAAAGCAAAGCACATTTCTCCTTTGAAACATCCAACCTCAACTGCATCTAAAACCTGGCACAGAATTGCTGAAACTATCTTTAAGATCAAAAGGCTATTACATTTTCCTGTCTCCAATCAAAGCAATTTTTCTTTCCTCTGGGATCCGTGGCTTAATGGAAATTTGCTTGGGGAAATATTTCATTTACCGGGCATGGATGATAATTTACTTAAGAAATATTTTAGGAATGATACCTGGTACCTTCCCAATCACTTTCCTCCTACCATTCAAGACACTATAAAATCAGTGGAAATCAAAGACACAAACGAAGTATTATGGGATGGAAATTCTATATGGGCTTTTAAAAATTTCATTGAAGTTTTTTACTATCATTTACCTAAGGTTGACTGGTATAGATCCATTTGGCACAAGAATTATGCCCTGAAGTATGCATGTTTTACATGGATGGCTCGTATTGGCAAACTGAAAACTGCGAATAACCTGCATCTGAGAGGTATTTTGGTACCTATTAACTGCTCACTTTGCTCGGGCAACACTGAGAATCATTCCCATTTATTTTTCGATTGTGATTTCTCTTTTTATATTCTTAAAAAGATTCTGCCGGCATTCAATAGTTTTTTACTCAGGCCTACACTGCCCCAGGCTCTGGATTTTATTGAGAACTCTGAAACATTAAATAGTGCAGGAAAAAATGTTTGCTTTCTAGCCATTAGTTGCATTACTTATTACATTTGGAGGGAAAGAAACAATCGTCGATTCTCAAATGCTAGAAACAATGTGGCTAAAGTTATTTGCAACATCTATGCAGCTATTAGATTGAAAATGGTTAAATGGAAACACAAAACAACCTTGCATCTGGATTTCTTGGGCATTTAATATGCCATCAGGTTCTATTAATTGATTGGAGAATGACTATATACCTCAAGCACTTTTATGCATTTTGTTATGACAAAATTGGGACTCGGCTTCTTTCCAGGTGCTATGAGCTGGCATGGTTTTGGTTTTTTGATCTTTTTTGGACTCGGGTAGCTGATATTTGGGATTGTTGTGAGGTTTTGATGTTACTTTCTCACCCCAGATTGAAGGTGGACTTTTTAACTCTGGAATCCCGGGTTGGCTGCAAAGATTTTAGCTGGCAAGATGGGTGGATGATTGGCATTCAGACAATGATGAGCAAAGCCAGTCTCTCCGAGCAATGGAGGGCCTACATGGCAACCTTGCTCGTTTTTGGGATTCTTTATGGGCAGGCTGGATGTGCTGCGACGGCCTCAGTAACTGATGCGGGTGTTGGTTTATCGGGCAACCAGTGCAACCGCCTGGACTCCAACTATCTCTATACTGATATAACATGATGAATGAGACTGTGCCTACTTTCTGAGTCTTTCCTTTGCCAATTGTCCTGTTTTCTTCTTGTAGCTGTCTTTGTGTATTTTTGTTTTAGTTTTGTCTTAGTTTTATTTTCAAAGGTTTACTTGTAATTTGCTACTTTCTTTATTAATACATGGGCTTCATGCCCCGGGTTCTCCCAAAAAAAACATTTTCTGCGCGAAAGTAACTCTGGTTTTAAAAATTTTAGGCCAGACCATCCCCCAAATTCTCGACTCCCTCGATGCGTCGACCGGAGCTTGCTCGACGTGATTTACAGAAAGCGGAGGAGAAACGGGATTTAAGAATCTGTAGGATTTACCTTTTTAGCTCTTCGGCAGGAAATAGGTTAAATCCTGATTAAAATCTGTCCAAATCCTGTTCGCCAACCGTGATGGCGGTGGAGCAGACGCGTCGCCATATCCGAGGTTTTCTCTCTCTTGATCTCTGCAAGGTATTCCCCAACTTTCTCTCTGTCTTTTCTACCTCCTCGATCTAAGATGTATTTGTACTCAGGAGCTGGAGTTCATCCACCGGACCTGCGGCGTGGTGGGTTACCGTCCCAACGTGTTATCGACAACCCTCAGCCATCTGGCGGCCACCAACTGCGCCCATCTTATTCTTCCTTTCGTCGCCGTCAGGGAGAAGCTCAAGGAGGTGGTCGAGGACTTCTTCGGATGCGAGTTTGAGCTTTTCATCGAGTTTACTGGCCTCATAAGGTACACATACTGTGTTGGCACCCCTTTTCAATTTATCCCACTAGACCCCCCTCGATCGTCAATAACAACAAAAATGAAGTCTTTGTCACACTCGACCCCCCTCGTCAATACAACAACATGGCCTGGTTGCAACGTTATTTTGATGGGATTCGTCATTGCTTCGATCAAAAAGCAAAAAGTATTGCCCAGAAGATGCTCTATCCAATGCCTATTTGATAATAAAAACCAAAACTGATAGGTATTGTAAAATAGTAAAGTTTCTGGCAAAAAATGGTAGGAAGCAGGAGGATGATTCAGCAATGTTGGATCCAGTCCAAAAGAAGATCGTTTCAAAAGCACCCAGAACTGCGAAAGCTAAAATAATAGTGATAATTCCCATAGTCCCATCGATGGATAATTCCCAACATCTCCATAAAAACCTTCCAACAAGGCAAAAGTAAGAGACCCAAACATTCCAGCCACCATAAGAACCCAAGTGAAATGTGTGAAAAGCTCCAAAGAATTATAATCACTCTAACCACAATAGTGTCAGTGATGAATGTATTCAAAAGAAGTTCAATTGCATTTACAAATTTAGAAAAATGCTCATCATGTAGCAGATAAGTTACATTTGCACAATCAACTACCATAATGTAAGTATATATACTTTCCCCCTCAAACTTAAGGGAAAATTCTATAAGATGGTGGTGAGACCTGCAATGCTTTATGGTGCCGAATGTTGGCCATTAAAAGAGAAGCATAATACTAAGTTAAGTGTTGCAGAGATGAGGATGCTTAGGTGGATGAGTGGCTTGACCCTTAGAGATAGGATACGAAATGAGCATATACGTGAAAAGGTTGAAGATAAGATTAGAGAGAGTCGCCTTAGATGGTTTGGTCACATTAAATGAAGGCCTTCTGATGACCCGGTTGGCCGGTTAGGAAAGTTGAGTTATTAGATTTGACTTATGTTAAGAAAGGTAGAGGTAGACCTAAAAGGACTTGTTTAAAAAATATTAGAAATGATCTTTCTTTATTAGATTTAAATGAGAATTTGACTTTTAACCGGACACAATGGCGAAAAAGGATTTATGTAGCCGACCCCACATAGTGGGACAAAGGTTTGATGTTATTGTTGTTGTTGTTGTAAAATATAGCAAACAGTGATATGAACAGCCAGGAGGAAGTATTTCTTTTGTAATTTTATATTTAAAAGTGTCAGCATGATTCAACACTTGATGAAGTGAGCCCCCAAAGTGAAAAAAGTTCATTTAGTAAGACATTCCTGTTGTGAAGAAATGAAGAAGAATTCTACTTTACATATTTGAGAGCATGCTTCACATTCATGAGTTTGTTATAAAGAGCTAGCATGGGGTCCTCATTAACATGGATATCACAAATATTATTTACAATCTCAAAAAATTGGTCAAGGAGACAAATATGTTGGTTGAACCTACCGTAAGTAAGACCATAATGTGGAAGTTCCATTAAGCTGGCATTAAAGATGCAATCAATAGAAATAGAAAAAAAAATGGAGGAAAAGAGAGGGCGGCGCAAGGGAACTCAAACCCTAGCAGAGCTCCTTGACGTGCGAAATAATGCTGTAGGCCCTGGTGTAGCTGCTGTTGCTTCCTACTTTCCCTTGTCAATATAAAGTCAAAATAAAAAGATAAAATCATTGAATACTTTATAGTCTAGGTAAAAAATGATGAAAAGAAAGTTATATATATATATATATATATATATATATTTTGGTCAAATTATGTTTTACCATTTTCCCTTTAATTGGATTTAAAAGCAACAAATCTCTTCTCTTGATTTTAGTGTTGCACAGCTTGATTTGGCTGGGCCACCTCATAACCATCTCTCTCTCTCTCTCTCTCTCTCTCTCTCTCTCTCTCCTCTCTTCCTAGTGTTACAATATTCCTGCTTTTGACCTCATGTCTGCTCATCCACTCATGCTATATCATCTTAGAGGATCCTTAGTTGTGTTTTTTTATGTCTCATGAAGAAGATCTAAACATATATAACATAATGACCATGTGTTTGAAAAAATTTACCAACCAGTCAAAGCTTTTTAAATGTATTCCATTAAGTATTCGTCATGGTGGTTTTGGGAGTTGGACTTTATCTGATTTCATGGCATGTGGTTTTGAATAAGTAACTTCTTGAGTTAAATTCACGATCCACAAACCTATAGTTGAAATGATCATTTCAATGTGATTAACTCAATGATCAAACTATCTTGATCCAAGTTCAAATGGGCCTAAATTATGCACTCAAGGTCTAGTTGAAAACTTCATGAGATTATTTGAGGTACAAAATGATATTCAAATCTTGCGTGCTTGTAGTCAAAATGAGCCTCTTGATGCATGGAATCCAGCGAGCCCATGATCGCTCAATTTTGATGCACAATTGCATTCTTAAAACTATAATATGATCAAGGGGATCAACACATCATTTGGTGGAGTGTTTGAGGATTTTAGCTAAAATAATTAAAATACTATTCTTAAAACTATAAATCGATTCTCATTTTATACATGAAAGGGAGCTTGGGATGATCAGAGCTCACAGATTTGAAGAATTCTTGACATTTGTCCAAAAATCATTACTAACTACTATCTTGACATGATTGTTATCCCTCAACCACCATCACCTTTTGTCAAATATGGTTGACACCAATGCTGATATATTCTATATCACCAACAAAGTCAATGCATGTTATTGCTAAATCCTATGTCTTCACAAACATGGTCTATGCATGCCATTGACGTCAAATTTGAGACATTATCGCCAAAAAGGCCAATTCGCACTGTTGACATCAACATTGATGCATGTCATTGCCAACAAGTTCAATGCACGTCATTGACACTAACATTGACACTTGTCATCATCAATAAGGTTGATAATGCATGCTATTGACACTAACTTCAATGCATGTCATTGCTAATAAGGTTGATGCATGTCGTTGACACCAAGGTTGATGCTTGCCATCACTAATTAGGTTGATGTATGTTATTGACACCAAATTAAAGCATGTCATCGCCAACAAGGTCTATACATAGTGTCGATGGATGCTACACTGATTAGATCTTTACTCTTTATCATTGTCAATGCTGATGCCTAGGGGTGTCAATATTTGAAACGACCCGAAAACTCAACTCGAACTCGACCCAAAAATTTTGGGTTAGGGTCAACCCGAACCCGAAATGGGTCGGGTTTGGGTTCAATAATTCGACCCATTTCAAAAATCTGGTAGGGTTCGGGTTGACCGTTTGACCCGAGATTGACCCGAAATTGACCTAGCAACCTGAGATTGACCCATTTTTTACCCGAAAAGTGGAGATTGACCCGTTTTTGGACCCGAAAACTAGCAATTTTTTGGCACCAGGGCATTCGGGTTTTGTCGGGTTAACCCGGACTTGAAGCGTGTCGGGTTAGGGTCCTGAAAATCGATGCGTTTGCAAAAATGGGTAAGGTTTGGGTTGACCCGAATAGTGCTGGGTTAGTTTCCGGTTCAACCCGAACCTGACCCATAACTCTAAATTGACGTCGTTGCTGATGCCCTACAAAGAAACCAACACCATTGATCGACCTGACAGGCTGACACTAAAGCTTATGCTCTTCTTCTTGATCTATAGTCTCCTATCATATAAGGAGAACGATGGAGCATACCACCAATGATTTCTTAATGACAGCTACAATGCCTCAAGGCTCCTTCAACTTCCACGATGCAAGCTATTCTCCATAGTTTATTTTTTCTATATTGTGTAAATGCCTTTCTCAATTATGGAGGAAAACATCATTATTACCTATGATGCACATAGTGAAATACTTTCAACAGTGCTAGGCTTGTGGTATTTTTCCTTTTTGAGTTCTATGTAAGAAACCTCTTCTCCTATAAGTTGCTCTTGACTTATTTTTTTTGAGTGTGTGAATTTTTTTTTTTTATAATGCTAAGATGATAAATTCTCTCTAATAATAAATGTTCTATCATGCAATGGTTGCTAATATACATTTGGTCATGTCATCAGCGGCTAACTAATTTGAAGCTTTATCCTTTATCAATAAGTAAATTAAATTTAATTAGAAGCATGGGGTTTAGATGGTTGGGCATATTCTTTCATTAGGATATAAGTTTTCTAACATTTTATTTATTTATTTATTTTTCAGTATATAAGTTTTCTAACATGATCTTGAAATATGTTAGTCAGTGGTGCGATTGGTAGGAATAGTTTTCTCAAGTTTGGTTCTAGTGAAAGTTCTTTGGTGATAAAATTATGTTGTCTTGTCCTTTATTACTTAGATATAGTGACATTATTATCTGAAAGCTATTTTATTGCCATCCCTAAGGCCCTTTCTTTTACAGTTATGAAGAGAATTCATTCTGAACTAATTCACAAAAAATCAATTATGCCTCTGTATATATGATATAGATACCCTGTGTTCTTTGTAACGCTCCTTAAGCTGATTAAATATAGTATTAAATTTAATGTAATTTGCTTAATTTTCTACCCTCTCAACTATGACATGTCTGCAAAATTTCAGTTGGTGCAGAGGAGCCTCAATTGGATGGCACAGTGATGACAATAGGCCTTACCTTAAGCAACGAGATTTTGCGGTATGCCTAGATCAAGATGTTAATTTTTCTGTTGTTTTGATTTGCACCGTTGTTGCTAGTGTATCTGATAAGATATGGCAAAGTCATTGTCCTTCTTAAGTTTGTCTTTCTTATGTACCTAGTGAGCTCTGTCAGTGTGATATATATATATATCATTTTGATGTTATAAAGCTTCACATATGTAGATTTTCATGGTCATATTTTGACCTCCACCTTTTTCCTTGGATGAGGCAATTTACTTTAAGACATTTTGTTTGCATATTCTTCAGAGTGTTCAAGTGCAACCATATATTGCTATTCAGATATAGTCAGTCATGTCAACTCTGGTCTGTTTTTTTTACATGATAATAAAAGTTTGACAATAATTCTCTGCTTGCGGCCATACTAAACCTCCTTTTCCAATTTGTGCCAACCTCTGTCCTATTTACACTTAAGATATCTCACGAGATGCTGACCTTAGAAATATAAGTAGGCAATGCTTTTTGGTTTAATTGTTTTTCTTAGGTTGGCAAGGAAGAAATGAACTCAAAATTGTTATGATGAGAATTTAAAGGCTTTTTTGTAAGTTCTTTAGTTTTCTTTTCAAGTTCCTAGGCATGCGCGTTAAATTCGATAGTTGAAGCAAGAGACATCAATACCGAGATGATTGTATGAATCATATACACGAGGGAGGTAGGGGACTAAGGAGGCTGTTAGAGAAAGTGAATGCTATTTAGTATAATCTTGCGTGCTCCTTTTTGGATTGTACATATCACAGAAGTGCAACCACCAATGAAACGAACATCCTTCCTAGTCCATTATTTAAAAAAGTTACTTGGGGCACGAAGCTTCTTAGTCCATACCTTATTATGTATAACTCATCAAAAATAAATCTGATCCTTTATACTTGGTGTTTTCTAACTTTATTCTACCCCTAATATGTAACCAAGCTAATAAGAGTCCATAATCAGAGGCTAAAATTTATGGAAAAATATAGAAGAAAGGGGCTTGAGTATTTTCTGAAGGTTCCTATTGATCTATGAACAAATAAAGGTACTCCAATTAATTTTTCTTGTTGTAGAACATTTTTCTCTCCCAAATGTAGTCATCATCTTGTTACACAAAAGATTTTTCTGAAACTGTTCTAAAGCCATAAGATCAGGAAAAAGAAAATAGTAGACAAATAATAGAGGAGACGATATTTACTAGAAAATTTGGGTTTTCTGATACAATTTACTGTAGGATTTGAGCCTTTAAATAGACAATTTATAAAAATTATAACCTTTAATCCATACCTAAATGAACTTTACTAGAAGAGAAAAATTCTACCTAAGAATATCCACTAGGTTAGTTTAAACTAAATGATAATTCATGGAGTAGTTATCATAATCTGAACTTAAATTCGAGCACTAATTTATCCAAAAAAATCCAAATTAATCTTATCCTATTGTAATATGAAACGTGATATAATGGTTCAGCTTCAGAGCTTTGGTCTCCCTTGTATGGTGTTCAAATGATGATTCGATTGCACCTACTAACTCATGGTAATATCCTCTTTAACGTTAACAACTTGATTTGTGAATCACCATCGTCAACAATTTTCTTAGAGAAAATCGACCTTTAAAACTTCAATGAATATTATCTCTTTGATATTTTGATGCAGGACTACGTATGCAATGTTTAATTCACTTAGATTTTGCACAACTTATGATCAGAATAATTCTAGAATAAATCTACTAGAAAATTCAAACAACGAAATAAAGCAATTAGTGGTTATCCGCTTAGGTTTGAAATCACATGATAAGAATTTTGAAGCTTCCAAAATAAATAGAAAACCAACACGATGAGTCGTAGTAGTTTCAAAATAATCCATAATCTAACAATGAGAATTAGGATGCATTGAGGGGCACTCAAATCCTACGATTACTAAACTTAAGCAAGAGCAATGCGGAAGAGTCCGTCATGACTGCAATCAAATCAATGAGAGTTTAGACTAAAAGGAATAATATGCAAGGGAAAAGAGAAACCTTCGTTAGGGAGAGGTGGAGATCTTCCACTCGATGCCTTCGAAGTGTTCGTCGATAGACTCTACCAAATGGATCAACGTGCGCTCCAAGTAATCATCGACGGTGAGATTAACTCTTGGATTCACGTCGAAGAAAGTATATTGTAGGATGTCTACGAAGCCGTCTTCGTCCCAAGTTATGCCGTAATCAGTTTCCGGGTCCGCCATTCATGGGTGCTTGGCAACAAATCTCTTCTCTGAAATCTGAGAACAATTTCAGCTGTTGTTCCCCAAAACCTGAGAGAATTCAGATTTCTTTCTTGACAGAGAAATAGAGTTTGGGAGAGGGGATGGGTTTTAGTACTCCAGTGAGGTGTTGATCGGGAATAGAGAAGGTGGGGAGAGAAGTAGCCCAAGAGGGGCCTTTGAATGTTTCGGCCAACAATAGGTTGGCTTTCCAACTCTTTCCCAAGATGTGCACTGTCTCGTGGACAGATTTTGAGGAAATCAAATATGGGGAAGGCGGTAAGCTGGGAGGAAATTAGGAATTATTTCCTAATTCCTATTCTCAGATTTTTGGAAACTAATTAAAGGTTTTGGCTTTAAAAGTTTCGGCTAGCATGAGTTGGAATTACTTCTCAGCAGAGAAAGTGGAAATTAGGAAGAGTTTCCTAATCCAAGCCCAAGAGAGAGGGGGCGGCAGCAGTAATGGGAAAAAGGATTAGAGCAAGTCATTAATGCATGCTAACATGAGATATGTAAATAGGCAAAGGTAGATTTAACCTAATCTTTCATAAATTGATTTGATTGAGTTTAAAATAATTTCCTAAAATAGAGGTTGTAAATTAGGAAACATTTTGAATTTCAAATCACTTGGATTTGAATTCAAATATAATCCTAAATATATTTAACCCATATTAGGAAATAAATAAAAGAGGGGGAAATCAAAAAGGGGAAAAAGGGGAAAGGTGGCCGGCGGTAGAAGCCTAAGGCCGACGGCCAAGAGGGGAGATCAGGTGAAGGTGGCCGGCAGTTATGGGGAAAATTTGTGGAGTTTGATGTGGGGAGGAAGTTGGGAAATTTGGTGGAGGAGTTGGATGTGACGAAGACGAATAAAGGATGGTGGTGAGGGAAGACGAAAATACAAAGAGAAAACCACAACCCGGCCGTCTCGAAGGTTGGTGGGTGATACGAATTCCCTCTCCTAGGGATCTCTCCAAGTTCCCCTCAAGAACTCTCAAGTACTCTCAAACACAAGCATAAAAAATTTTCATAATCATTCATTCATTAATTAATAAGATGAAAGAACGGGTTATAAATAGCCGGGTACAATGACTCAACGAAATAAAAGACACTCTTGCCCTTTGGGCTTACATACGACGCTTCCCATTAAAGGGGTACAAACGGAAAACATAAAACACTCAATAAATAAAATGCATGAATAATAAAATAATACAAATGACTCAAAAATACAAAGACTCGATCGTGGCCGTAAATTGGTGGCCACGTCTCTGATAAACCTTCCACGATCTGATGTCCCCATCATATTTTCATGATTTGATACCCAAATTTGATCATTAGATGATATGATTGGTCACACACTATATCTGACACCTAGACATGGGTTCCAAAGAATTTCACTCCAATGAAATCGTAACTTTAGGTGGGGGGAGGCTGAATTTACAACCTCCTTGCCATATCAGTTTATTGTGCTTGACAACTAATGTTTTTGGAAGTTTCTAGAAAATTTAGAAATTTCTTTTGAGAGCTTCATTGTTTGTGGAACTTGTGTAGCATTTCATCTTTTGGAGCATTCAGGAAATAGCTGATCTAATTTAGTACATATTTCTAGAAAGTTATAGGCATTTTTATTATATTGTTATAAATAACTGCTATAGGTAGAAGAAGATGAATGATCTGAATATTTTTTGAAATTCCAACAGTTTTTATTGTTTTGATATTTGCTCCTGTTTTTTCAATGATCTCCCCACATCAAAGGAACTTCTAACGGACAAACCCTGCAACCAACTTCTTAACAAGACTATTTAAATTGCTAAAAATAACATTTTTGATTCTGGACATAATCATAGCTGTTCTTGAATCATAAATCCAAAAGATATAGGCTAGTACTTTCAATACATTTGACTTCTGATTTTTTGTTGAAGGCAGTATGTTACTTGAACAGCCATGGAAAGGATTTCGAAGGTGGAGTTTTTCGCTTCAAGGATGGAGATCCTTCATCTGTTATTCCTATTTCTGGTGTAAGCAGAACATTTGCAACCTTTGATTCAAATTTTCCTTTATGAATTCTTTTAGATCAATTTGTATATGTTGTGTGACGAAACATAAGAAAAAATGGTCCTTATTTAACTACAAGTTTTCTTTTTATTTGTTTTCTATCTTAGAGTATGAACTATGAATATTCTGATTTTCATTTCAGGATGTTCTAATCTATACAGCGGATGATCGCAATGTACATTCTGTAGATGAGGTATCTTTTGTTTATATCTTTCAATTTTTTCAGCTTTTATGAAATTTATTTAAAAAAAAATGTTTATAATGGTGAATTATGTTCACCTGAATTGGAGTCTGCTTTGGTTTGATGCATTCCCTTTATTAACTATGTACAAGTTTTAAGAGAGGATTGGGAATTTGTATATATATGCCACGCCAAGGAAACCACCGTTCTTCAGTTATGTCCTTGATGTGGAGACATAAAACCCTCCACAAAACTACATTGTTTAAAATTTTCTTAGATTTTCAATCTTTGAAATTACTTACGGAAGCATGGCATGGTTTAAGTAAACTGATTAAATTTGACAAGCAATATTTGCTTATGTTGCATTACTATTTGCATTATGAGTTAATAGTCTGTTTTTTTTTTCATTTTATTAATATTGTTGTGCTAATTCATTTTACTTGTTTTATTGGGGTGGGTATGGAATGAGGGGATATGGTAAATAAATAATATTGAAGTTTTTGTAAGCATCTGAAAGCATCATGTGCATACATTTCAGTAGTACACAATAACTTGCAAGGTGGACCCTTGCACTATTTGCATAATCTGACGCGTGGTTCAAAATAGCATTCAATATTTATGCTATAGTAAGAAAAATCAATGCTATTTTGATTTACATGATTCGCAAGTTAAAATTAAAATTAATTTTATTTATATTTTATGTATTATATATTATTTTATTCATAATTTTCTTTTTTAACTTAATTTTATTTGGGAAATAGATTTGAAGGTCTCTTTGACACTAGTACATGTTAGATGCATGCATGCGACAACAAGGGGTTTGGCATAATGCGACTTCGAAGGCAAAGTCGTAGGTGATTGGTGGGGTTTGACACAGTATTGTGATGGGGTTTGCCATGCACTGCTGGAGGAGAAGTTGAAGGCAACTGTGACTGTGGGGGTTAGCTAGGTTTAGGCATACAATTTCGACATTGACGGTTTTGCTTGGCATTATCATAAACTAGGGCTTTGACGAGTGCAAAGCTTTGCTAGGTGATGACAAGGAGAAGTCGAGGGTTTTGACAAGCAACGATGACATTCTTGACACTCGATGGAGGTGTTGTTCGTGCTTTTCTTTCTGTAAAAATAGATGCTTAGTAATTTCTTCCTTCTAGAGTTCTAGTATTTTAAATATTATATTATGGTTAAAACAGTGTACTACCCTATACACTGTGTATGATTTCATGGGGTCTTTTGCGCAATGGTGTATTATTTTCCATTAAAAAGTATTTTCATGTGAATTAATGGGCATTTAAGTTCTCTAAACAAATGATTGATTCATTGAGAGGACCTTATCAAGGGCAATGATCGGTCTACTGTGGTGAAAAATAATTAAGGGTTTGCTAGGAACTCTCCAACAAGTGATATGCCACAATTTAACCCAATGTGGTGAAAAAGTGAGCAAGAGTTGCTAGGTATAGAGCTAATATTATATTTATTATATGGAATTTAGAACATAGAATGATAAAATGAGGTTTGACGCACATAATTGTTAGAAGAAGAATAAATGTTACTTGTTTCAATTAAATTAAACAGAATGGGAAAATCCAAAGAAATTATGAACTGTTACATGTTTGGAAATGTTGATAATATAATAGAAGTTGAGATAATGGTGGATAAATAGTTGAGGATAAAATTGTTTGTGCTGCATAGTATTTGTGATTGTATTATTAATATTTAGTTAATTATTGATGTGGATATAATACCTGTGGTTAGTGACTGTGCTTCTCAAGTTACTTAGAAAAAAGTTTGAAAAATTAATTTTGGAAAGAAATGAATGAACACATTCAAAGATAAAATGTTGATTATTAGGGATGGCATAAATGGACATATAGATTCAAGTAGGGTTGACTATTATTAGAGGTTTCATAGTGGATTTGGAATATAAGAGATGATAGTGTGGTTCGAGATACCATGCTTGATTTTTATGATCTTGCATTAATTGATCATCGATAGTCCTTTAAAATAGAGGATGGCCTTAATGATCAGCTGGTGATACCCTTTGGTTTATTGAATGCTCTAACTATCTTCATACACATGGCACACATTTAATACCCATTAATTTGGAAGTTCTTCATTGTATACTTCAATGAAATCCTCATCTTTAGTCACACTAAGAATTACCATATTCCTCATTCATCATTTGCTTAAAATTTTCAAGACATTGTGCCTTGAAATTTTTTTTATTCACATGAAAAATTGTTTATTTATGACCTTTTCAAAGAGTTTCTTTGAATTTCCTATGATGATGTCTTTGTTGATCTTAAGAAAATCAAGGCTATTCAATAATGACTTATCTCAACCACTTTCCATGTTGCCTGCAGTTTTCATTGCTTGGCCACTTTTATACGATATTTATTCATAGATTTAGTATCTTTATGGCCCCAATCACCCAATATCTAAGTAGTGAATTCCATTGGACAAATTTAACCTCTAAAACCTACTCCAAAATCAAAAGCTGCTAAGAAGTTGAGCATTATTGAGATTATCTGATTTCAGTTAGATGTTTGAGGTATCTTATGATAGCCTCTGCTGTTGGCATGGAGGTGTCCTGAAACAAGAGGTTCACCTTATCGCATTGTTTAGCATGGAACTAAATGAGGTGCAATGACATTACTCAACATATGATCATGAATTCTACGCTATCATTTAAACCCTTTAATACTAATGCCACTCTTTAGTAAGAGTTTGTGCTCTACTCTATTCATGTAAGTTTCTTTTTCCTCGAAGCTCTATGTGAGGGTTTCATGGGTTTCTCTATGAGAGTTGAGGGTAGTTAGATTTGGGGAGTGCTTTTCATTGTCCTTTTAGTTGATCATTGTTTGTAATTCTTGTTTGCTTGATCATATACTCTCTTCTTTTTGGTGGGCATAGGCTTTTTTAACTAAATCATGAAAATCTTGGTGTTCTTCTGTGTTCCTTGATCTCTTATGTTTTACATATGATTTATCATATTTGCTCTTAGTTAACATTTCTTCATAGTAGTCAATTGTTTTTCCTTACTGGTATCAGATGGGGACATCGGAGCTTGGAAAGTCTATCAGAGACGTGTCCGTTGATCTACGACCACGATTGAGTCGATGTATTTTTGAGTCGTATTATGTATTTGTCTTTTATTATTTTATGTTATGTTATGTTGTATTTGTTTTGTTATCTTTTCTGTTTTTACCCCTTACTTAAGGGAGGTCGTGTGTAAGCCCAAAGGGCGTTTTGGTCCTTTGTCTTGAGTCATTTGTACGAGGCTATATATAGCCCTTATGTTTTCTTTTGTTGCTTAGTGCCCTTATGTTTTCTTTTGTTGCTTAATGATTGAATGATAAAAATTTTCCCATTGCTTGAGTTCTTTGTGAGACCTTGAGAGTGTTTGAAGAGAGAAATCCCTAGGAGAGGGAAATCGGATCACCCACCAATCTTGGAGACGGCCGCGTTCGTGGTTCGTTCTATTATTTCATCTTTTCCTCTTTCTCCCACCCTACACCACCGGCACACCGCCCCTTTCACCACCCATGCTGTCGGCCATATTAGCCCCACTCTCACCTTTGGCTAATTTTCGCATCTCCACCCCATCCACCACCATCCACGGTCACCACATAAGCCGCCGGCCCCCCACTTGGCTTCCTCTCCATCATTGCTTATGATTACTCCTTTCCTAATTGGGTTGAATAATTTAGGTAACTCAATAACTTTGCAAAATTCAAATTTATTTGAATTTAAAAAGTTACCTAAGATATCATTCCTATTTTAGGAAAGTTCCCAAATCCTTTCCTTTTGATTTTAAGTTAAATTAGGATGAAATATCTCATCCCAATTTTGGTTCCCTAATTTAAGGAAGCATTAAAAGCTTCCTTAAAGCCCCTACCTAGCCCATTAAGCCGTCGGCCCCCCTTGTGTTTTCCCCTCTTGGCTTGTGTTCAAACCTTTCCAAGTTGGCCTTCCTAGAAAAGGGAAACTTCTTTAATTCAAATTCAAATTTAACTTGAATTTGAATACTTTCATAAATTATGAGATCTATTTTTGGAAAGTTTCCTAAATTAAATCCTATTTGAATTTAAAATTCAATTGGATTTAAATTTACCTTTCCTTTTATTTAAATCCAAATCAAGCAACATTAAAGGCTCTCCCTAAATCCCTCTCCCTCCTATGGAAGTTGCCCCCCCCCCTCCCCTTATTAACCCCTCTTGATTTCTTTCCTATTTGCTAACCCCTCTTTTGGGAAGATTTCAAACACCCTTTCCCTCTCTCGTAGCCTGCCCCACCCTTTCCTAAATACATCCTAATCCTTTCCAAACTAAAAGGATTATTTGGGGAAACGTTTGCTTGATTTCCCTCCACTCCTCTTCTAAAATATGAAGCTAAATTCTCCTCTATGATCCCACCCATGGCTGGCCACCTCTCCCCCTCTTCCCCTTGCGAATCTTCAAGATAAGCCGCTCTCTTTCAATAGGAGCCTTCAAGGGAAGTAGCAACTAGTATCTTCAACATTTTCAACTCTTGAGAGAACTTCTTCCTCTCTAGTTGAGCCTTCAAGGAAAGTTACGACGATCATCCTCAACATTTCACCTCTTGAGAGAAACTTCTTCTCTTTGGTTGAACCTTCAAGGGAAGCTACGACGAACACCGTCAACATTTCAATTGTTTCCGGGCCTCGACAAGGGTAAAGTTCTTCCCCTTTTAATTATCTTCCTAATCCACTAATCTTGTAGGTGGTGATCGAGTTGCGAGGAATCGTGCTTCGCCTTCTGCCTAAGCTTAGTAAACGTAGGATTGAGCGTGTTTTTTATGTTGCTATCTTATTATTAGATTAGGGATTTTTGTTGAAAGTTACTTAATTCGCATGTTGTTGAACTTCTAAGTTTTTTTTTATAATCCAAGTGTTTGGCATGTGACTTGGCCTAAACATAGCCACCCTTCTTACGTTTCATTTTGTCGTTTAAATTGCTAATAGTTTTAATCATAATTGTTTTTATCAAGAA